GACTAGCCTACTGTGAAGTGGCTACATCAGCTGGGAAGATTTGTGGCAAATCCATGTGAAACTCAGATGCATTTGCATGACATGCTGGAGTCTCAGGTTTACACTTACAGGTAATTCAGTGGACTACTCCTTGTTACCAGCTTCTGCGCCTGGAAGTAATTGGCAATCCTCGACCGAGGGAGTCCAGCTCGAATGAACTTGGGGGTTATCCAGCTGGTGAGTATTTTTCTTAGCAAGACATGTTACTCATAAAACATTGGAGGCTCTTCGGCAGCGAGCGACCAGTCTCTCTCTTCTTAAGGATAATCCAGTGGGCTTAGTCACCACCAACAACGTTATGTTCCATATGAGGGACAGTTTGCACATGAGCGACGAAATATGCTCACTTCCAAAGTAATTTAACGTTATCTGTTGACCCAATTGAATCCCAGTCCGATCCCAAACCTCTCATAAGAGAGGTTTAAATAGGATTCATTTGATCTTCCTCTTAACCATAACTTAATTTGAAACTGAATGTACTTCGTCACTTTGGAGAGCTGTTTTACAGTCAATAAATTTCAACATAAGAAAGCTTCTCCGCATATGTTTGCCCAAATGTATATATACAAAATTGTAATATAATAATAAGGATCCCCACGAAAATTCTCGCGCCTCATATGTATGGGCTGGGTCAGTGACTGGATTAGTCCGCGTTCGTTGATTATAAACAATGTCAAGACACCACGTGATGACCCTTGGTTCATAATACCCTCAAGCAGGTCGTATAATTAACTCCGGACGAAACTCCTGACGGCACCGTCGGAGATTAGACTGTAATACCAGTGAGGTGGAATAAGTCCTTGCCGAAGATACCCAGCATGATCCCTAAAGATATGGCAATTTGGGACACACTTCCTCCATTTTCAGAGGAGTTATTGACCACGGTGCTTTCATATTAGCTAGAATAGCTAATCATATAGAGTCGCACATCCCTTTTATTGTGCTAAGCCCCAGATCTCAGGAAAACAGATGATGTTCATATGTTTGTCCTACAATTTGGGCACAATAACTCCTTGACTTCCAACTTGGATGTGAGTTGTATCATTCTTACACTCGTGTACCATCAAAAATAGACAGTTTTGAATTTCTAAACCTCTCATTTTGAACTGCCTCCAATTCAACGGTCTTTTTCCAGGGAAACCGTTGTTGTTGCAGAATAAGTTCACATGGAGTTTTGTTGTGATTTAGTACAAGAATTGACCTCAAAAAACCTGCCTATTCTTTGTGCCTGGGCTTCCATCTTATCAAGATAGACAAACAGTAAGCCAACACTCACCCTGAAGCGCTAAATCCAGTCAGGAAGAGACTGGAATGTATCACGGTTCAACGATTTGTGTAACTCAGTAATCCAGTGCACTGTACTTAAGGATACTTGCGCAGCGTCTACAGAGTCTCTCACCAATCGGATGGCGTTTGACAAACAGTTTTCCTTCTCTCCATGTCTGAGGCTAAAACAAGCCTGCCAAATCATTGCTGAGGACTTTGTCTGTTTGAGTAGAATCAAGCCAACCACCGCCGCCAGCGGTCAAGCTTTTCAGCCAAAGTTTTTAAAAGGAAATCAGTGGTCTACCTGTCTAACTTCAGGTGCCCTGGTAGTATGTCAGTTGACATACAACCATGACACTTGCAAATAACCGTACGGTCACGCCACATCGGCCGTCGCGTGGTGCCATCTGCAGCCGCTAATGATACTGACGGTGATGCTTGTCTGCGTCAAGACCATTCGGAGAAGAAGACTCCCTCAGCAATAGTTCTACGGAAGCAGACCTCTTGAAACACTTCCCAGGTAAGTGAGAAAAAACATATTTACCTGTGTTTTATCGTACCCTTCAACTTACTGACACATCTGTAGGTAATAATATCGTGCCGTCACGAAAAGACAAGACGGATTGCGTGCCCCCGTGACCCATTGAGCTATACTGGGGGTGTCTGCGTGACACTAACAGAGTATCTCATACCAGGTTGGTCAATGGGTAGAGGTCTGACGAAGAGGTCATGAAGAGGCTGAACCTTACCGTGGTGTGGCGGTTTTTGTACCTCGGCGACCCATTGAGCTATAGTGGGGAGTGTTCGCACGATTCCCACAGAGTTTCTCATACCAGGTTGGTCCATGGGTGGAGGTTGAGGGATGGGACATATATGGCGACGCGTTCTGTAAAAAATGACAACGTACTTGCATTTCCGCTGTCTTGCGGTTAGGCTTTTGAGCCAAAGGCTTTGGTTGAGGACATTACTCGTCCTCCTGCCTAGGTGTGAGCGCTCTGCCAGTATCCCAGCCCTCATATAACCATGACATACACAACTAACGATATTCTCATACCACATCGGCCGTCGCGTGGTGCCATCAGCCGGGTCGCCTTACTTGCTGCACACAACGGGGCAAGTAAGCGAAAACATGCCACTGCTGACGCCTCCCTTCTTTCACTTTCACGTTTTCCGTCTTCCGCCCTCCCACGCCCAAATTTGAGTACTTTATCCGCAAATTCCAGCTCTAGGATTGACTGTGTTGCTCGCCCTGTATCACACTCAGCTGCAGCATCTGCACCTCCGAGTTCAGTTACACCCTAAACACTTCGAAGTCTGTTTTCAAACCCCGAAAGCCTGTCTACTTAGCCACTTTCAATGTTCGCACACTGAAGCAAGCAGGTCAACAGGTGGCTCTTGCGCGTACGCTGGATTCCCTCTGTATTGATGTATGTTGTCTTTCAGAAACAAGGACGCAGGACGCAAGTACT